TGTGGAAGATGGTCAGCAAATACATACTTTGGTGTGGGGGAAAAAAAAAAAAAGATTTGAAGTAAATAAGTGAAGGCTTCTTTAAATTTTTGTTTTTTTTTTTTTTTAATATAACTTTCTTAGGAACAACTCCATAGTGTACGTTATGTAGCAACATAATATGTATTAAGCAAGCTTCAAAGAATTTTATTCTATTATCACAAAGCCTTAGGGTAACACTGAAATCTGTATGGAATAATTCAGAGGAGAACTATCCTGTGAAAAGGAATTATCAGAGTTGTGCTATGAAGTTCTATTGTTAAAATTCTGTATCTCTACAGAAATTAACTGGCAGGTGTGAAGCATTTAGAGAATCATTACCGAACTTCTGGTTCAGATGCAGATAGATAAAATCAGGTAGTAAACATGTTAGTTCAAGATTTCAGCTTGTACTTGGATCTCTAACTGTTGACACTGCCTGCTGTTTGACTCTCACATGACTCTGCTTCTGAATGAGGCGATTGCTTCTCCACAAAGGGAGAATGTGCAAGTCTAGCTGTAGTCAAGCTTTGCCTTTTCATACAGCAGAGGTAGGACACTGAAATCTGAAATCAGAAGTCAACTATCAAGTAAAAATCAAAGGCAATGTGGACAGCCTTATGGTAAGCACTAGTGACAGGATTTGTCTATCCGGGTATAGACATTCACAGCATGAGAATTAGTCTCCTTAGGATTCCTGCATAATCAATGAATGTTTACTGCAAGCAATTCAACTAACCTATTTATATTTTCTACTTTGGGAATAAAAAAATGATGCCTTAGGCATTTTTATCTTGCCCTTATTACTCACTCTGTAATTTACTTACTTCTCAGTTTGATTCCAAGGTGGAATCATTGAGTCCAACTCCCTGCTCCTTGCAGGACTGCCTAAAATGAAATCATATGACTAAGAGCATTGTTCAGATGCTCCTTCAACTCTGACAGTCTTGGTGCTGTGACCACTTCCCTGGGGAGCCTGTTCCACTGACAGACCACGTTCTCAGTGAAGGGCCTTTTCCTGATGGCCAGTCTGAACTTCCCCTGACCCACCTTCATTCCATTTCCTTGTGTCTTATCACTGGTCACTGGAGAGAGGAGATTAGCACCTCCCCTCCGCTGCCCTTGTTGAGGAAGTTGTGGGCTGAGATGAGGTCACCCCTCAGCCTTCTCTTCTCCAAGCTGAATAAATCAAGTTGAAGACCTTCGTATACTAAGGTACCCAAAACTCCGCACAGGACTGGAGGTGGGGCCTCACCAGTGCAGTGTAGAGTGGGACAATCACCTCCCTTAACTGTCTGCTTGATGCAGCCCAGGACTTGTTTGGCCCTTTCGGCTGCCAGGGCACAACCTTGACTCCTATTGAACTTGTCATCAACCCAAATCCCTAGATGTCTTTCTGCAGGACTGCTCTCCAGACTCTTGCCCCCTGTTTTTTTGTACAACCAGGATTACTCCATCACAGGTGGAGAATCTGGCACTTGCTCTTGTTGCATTTCACGCAGTTGGTGATTGCCCAGCTCTCTTGTCTGTCCAGATCTCTCTGTAAGGCCTCTCTGCCCTTGAGGGAGTCCACAGCTCCTACTTGTTTACTGTCATCAGCAAACTTACTTAATGTACATTAAACTGCTGTGTCCAGATCATTTATAAAAACACTGAAGAGAACTGGCCCTAAAATTGAGCCCTGGGGAACCCCACTGGTGACTGGCCACCAGCCTGATGTAACTCCATTTACTCTTTCAGCCTGACCCGTCAGCCGATTGCTCAGCCAATGTATTATGGACTTGAATGAGACAAATAATTCCTTTTGAGGGGAAATCAGGATTTCAGAGAGGATGGTTTTCTTACTGTGGTGTATATTCTGTAGACAGGACAGGTGCAGAGTGAACTATGGCTCCATCCACAAAGTCTTCCCAAAATAGCCTAGAAGACACTGCATTCTCACAAATCATTGTTCACAGTCCTCATGAAACCCTTTCTGTTGCACGCTTTAAGAATCCAAATATAGTTGCACATGAAGTAGGAGTTGTTATTTATCCCCTTTCTTAACTGTCCTTTGGCAAAAGAAAATTAGTACCTTACCAAAGGTGCCTTTCTCTTTCTGTTGAAGCCCACAGGCATCTAGCCTCCCCCATCCTGGGAGTCTTCCTCACCACTCGATAACTCTGCCCTCCAGTTGTACATCCTTCATTGCCGCAAGGGACTTTGGCTATTGCCTGTGCTCTGTCTTTTCTTGCAATCTTGTTCTGGTTCTCTGGTGCACAGTCCATTCACCTCATCCCATGACTCCTTCACCTGGTAACTGACCATGTCTTGTTTCCCACACGTGAAACCACGAACCCTCTAAACCCAGCAAGAGGCACCTGCACCTGGCCAGCAGCATCTGCGCTCTGGACTGGGGCCCATGATCAGATCGTTGATGTACTGAGGAACTTTCTTCAGCTAGTGCTGGCTCCATGATCCTCAAGGAGCATGGTTACCACCATTCTGAGCAGTCTTACACTTTCCGGAGCTGAGTTTCTGTCCCTTTGCACTCCTGTCTTGTAACTGGCTCTGAAACCAGTCCTTCAGCACTCCTGCAGCAGTGAAAGACAACTAGTCTCTGCCTAGGTCATCTAAGTGATGTACGTCAGCCAACGGACCAGAAGCATTCACATCCCTACTGTACACAGCTCGCCCCTTTGAGGGGAGTCTGGTTGCACTCACAGTGCACAGAATTTTCATTACTTCTGGCACAGTGCCTACCCTACAGGCCCTTTGGGGTGCCCTGTTAGCCTGCCACGTGGGGCACACAGGACGCTTCTCTGCGTTTGAGATCCAAAGGACTATGCCAATTCTGAGTGGGTCACTTGTAGGTTAGGTGGCTTGATGCTCAGCAGGCTTGATGCCTCAGAATGGGTCACTTGTAGGTTAGGTGGCTTGATGCTCAGCAGGACTGAGGGCACTTCTAGAAACTTCTAAGGTTTCTCCTCCACCCAAGATCTTCTTTGAAGTGATGTCAGATATTCCTGCAGACAAAATTGCCTCTTCTCTGCGTCTATCCTGCTCCCCCAGGTCTCTAAACAGTTCCAGGTGGCCCAGTTTTGGGCCTGGCATTTCTTAAAAAAAAATTTAAGATCCTCTACAAGGATCTATGAAGAAATTTGAATTTCTTTCTAATTCAAGAAACAGTGGGGGAGGTCTGCCTCCCCCTGTCCCACATTTGTCCTTCTATAGCATCGTGTTCAGAATGCCTGTTCTGTGTAGAAGGCTCTGTGGATTGGTAGGAGACTATGATCATGTAAGGATTGCTGGGATAAAACTGCAGGATGGGGGAAAGCAAAGCAGAGACGAACGGTGAGGTGATGGAACCTCCAACCCTGGCGCACCCTTGAGTCATAACTGGGACAAACTTATCCCTCAACCACCTCCACGTTGCCTAATGTGGGGCCAGGATGCTCCACTGCAGGAAGAAGCCTAAAAGCTATACAGTCCACCTGAAGTGAGGATAAGGGGGGAAGAAGGGAGTGCACTAAACCTACAGCTGACACTACTATAAAGACCCTTGTAATTATGTGAGTGTAGTGGGTTAGCCCTTGGCTCGGGGCCAAGCCACACACACCCGCTCACACAATTCCCACCCCCACCCAATGATAGGGGAGAGAATAAAAGGGTTAAATGGTAAAGAGGACTCGTGGGTTGAGATAAGGACAATTTAATAACTAAACTACAATAATATTAAAAATAATACTATATACAAATACACAAATGAGTGATACACAGTGATACTGCCCCCCCACCCGATGACCAAAAACCTAGCCTGCTCC